GTTATTACCTCGTTAGTTCGAGTCGGTGTTGTCGCTCTGATACGTAGCAGTCGGGGGGATGAACGCTTGATGTTTAGTTGTTGATTATTATTTCAGTTTCTGAATTTTTAAGTTGATTACATGAAATAATTATTGTCTTGATGTTGTTTTAGTTGAATAAAAGATGTTAAGTGAATTGAAGTTGAGTATGTATATTTCGTTGCTTATCAATAAAAAGTTGTTTGATTTTGAAGAATAAATCAGATTGTTATCGATTCATCTGAGTTAAGTATTATGTATCTGTTTGTATGCGATTAAATGAAGATTGATAAATGTAGCATCCTATTTATGTTGAACTCTAATTTTCTTATTATCCGTCAGGTAGAAATGGGGTGTTACAGAGGAACTCCTGCTCCTGTCAAGTGTTATAGGTGTGGTGAACAAGGTCACCATTCCAAGGAATGTGAGAATAAGGTTTTGAGTTGCTACAAATGTGATAAGATGGGTCATCATGCTCCTGAATGCAAGAACGGTGGTCCAACTTATTTTAATTGCGGAGAATAGGGTTACATCAATACCCAGTGTCGAAGGCCAAAGAAGGATGTTGCTGCCGAGACCAATGGTAGAGTGTTTGCCTTAAGTGGATCATAGGATGCTAAGAAGGACAACTTGATTCGAGGTACTTGTTTTATTAACAATGTTGAGTTAGTTGCTATTATTGATATTGGTGCTACTCATTTATTTATTTCGCGTGAATGTGCTAATATGTTGGGATTGAAGTTGTCTGACATGAATGGTAGTATGGTGATAGATACTCCTGCTAGTGAGTCTGTTACTACTACTATTGTTTGTTCAAGATGTCCTTTGACCATTTATGGTAAGAGTTTTGTGATGGATTTGGTGTGTTTTCCCTTACACCAAATTGATGTTATCCTTAGGATGAACTGGTTGGAGTTCAACTATGTTCATATCAATTTCTATAATAAAAATTTGAGGTTCCTAAAGTTTGGAGATAATGGAGAACTAATGTTGTTGTCTGCTAAGCAAGTGAATGAACTTATTGAAGATAAAATCTTGATGTTTGCAATGTTTACGCCATTGCAAGTTGATCGTGAAGCTACAAGTGTTAAACTAGCCATTGTCTGTGAATTTCCAGAGGTGTTTCCAAATGACATAAGTGATTTACACCCAGAACGTGAAGGGGAGTTTTCTATAGAATTGGCACCAGGTACAAGTCTGGTGTCAATGGCTCCTTATAAGATGTCAGTTTTAGAGCTGAGTGAACTGAAGAAATAGTTGAAAGAATTGCTTGAGAAGAAGTTTGTTCGACCGAGTGTTTCTCTGTGGGGTGAACATGTGTTGTTAGTTAAGAAGAAAGATGGAAGTATGAGATTATGTGTGGAATACAAGCAGTTGAACAAAGTGACTATTAAAAATAAGTATCCACTTCCGATGATTGATGATTTGATGGATCAGTTGGTGGGTGCTTGTGTTTTCAGCAAGATCAATTTTAGGTCGGGTTATCATCAGATTCGTGTTAAACCCGATGATATTCTGAAGACGGCCTTTCGAACAAGGTATGGTCATTATGAGTACATTGTGATGTCGTTTGGTGTATCTAATATCCTAAATGTTTTTATGGAGTATATGAATCAAACTTTCCATTCGTATCTGGACAAGTTTGTTATGGTCTTCATTGACAATATTATGATATATTATAAATCAGAAGAAGAACATGCTGAGCATTTGCGAATTATGTTGCAAGTGTTGAAATAAAAGAAATTGTATGCAAATTTGTTGAAGTGTGAGTTTTGGTTGAAGGAAATGAATTTCCTTGGCCATGTGATTTCTAGTGGTGGAATTGTTATGGATCCTTCTAAAGTTGATGCAATGTTGCAATGGGAGACTCCAAAGTTTGCGTCTGAGATTCAAGGTTTTCTTGGTTTAGCAGGTTATTATCAAAGATTCATTGAAGGATTTTCTAAGTTGGCGTTACCTTTAACTCAGTTGACTCGAAAGGTCAGGCTTATGCGTGGGATGTTGCATGTGAAGAAAGTTTTATAGAATTAAAGAAGAAGCTGACGACCACTATGTTATTGATTTTGCCTAATCCGAGTGAGTCTTTCATGGTGTATTGTGATGCATCTAAGATGTGTCTTGGTGGTATGCTAATGCAAAATCGGCAGGTTATTGCTTATGCTTCTGAACAATTGAGAGTTCATGAAAGGAATTATCCTATGCATGACTTAGAGCTAGTAGTTGTGGTGTTCGTGTTGAAAATTTGGAGACATAATCTTTTTGGCTCTAAATTTGAAGTGTTTAGTGATCACAAGAGCCTGAAGTATTTGTTTGATCAGAAAGAGTTAAACACGAGGCAGAGAAGGTGGCTCGATTTGTTGAAATATTATGACTTTGATTTGAGTTACCATCCTGGTAAAGCAAATGTGGTAGCTGTTGCGTTGAGTAGGAAGTCGTTGCATATGTCGATGCTAATGGTTCGAGAATTAGAAATTATTGAACGATTCAGAGATATGAGCTTGGTGTATGAAGAGGTTCCTAATCGTGTAAAGTTGGTAATGTTGAAACTGACTAGTGGTATTCTAGAAGAAAACCGAGAAGGTCAGAAATCTAAGTTGAGTTTGGTTGATCGACTAACATTGATTAATGAAGAAACAGGCTGAACAAATCATCGAGGTGAAATCAATGAAGTCGCCATCGAACATTTTTTATCCCAAAGGAAGGGAAAGTTAAACATCGAGTAAACCTGAGAAGGGTGAAATCGTGATCAAACGACCGAGAGATCAGGTAAGGGAGTCTATTACGCGAGGGGAAAGTATTAACACCCCACACGTCTGTAGTACTCTACGGTATCCAGTCTTGTTGTTATAATCAAATAATGTGTTTAAAATGTAAGCTTAAGAGCTAAAAGAAAATTCAAAGAGGTAATTCATGCAAAAGAAAAGATAAAATAATGTAGGGAAAATAAAGTTGTGCTCGCTTGGGCCCTACCCTAATGCCTATGTATTCTTTTTGAGGAATCAGAGTTACAGTAGTTCAGCTCACATGTTTTGATTTGTTTTGTGTTTTTTAATGAACAATATTAATTTTGTGTTCTGCCGCAGCTCGAGCTTTGGAGACTCACGCATGAGCACATAAGTGAATTAACATGTTCTACCTAACAAGGTATTTGCAAAGAAAAATGCCCGAAGGAAGATAATGCTACATTCGTGCTCTAGCAATTTAGACATAGTGCCAGCCGACCTTTGGGGATTTACGTGTCCAGTTTTGTAGAGTAGAATTAACACATCCTTTTTAAAGTTCCGAAGAAAGGCCCGGAGGCAGAAAAAACTTGCATTGGTTGATGTTTTTTTTACCTTGAAAAAGGATTTGAAAGTTGTTAGATGTTTTATGAATTTGCCAGGAAAATGGTTTTAGTTTTAATGCAAGGATGCAAAAGAAAAGAAAAACATCTAAGAGAAACTAGCTAGAATCTAATCCCTAATGTTATCATACAATGATTGATCCTAAGGTTTAGTTTTGAAAGGGAAATCTCTACCCTATGTTAGCATGCATGGATCACGATCCTAATGTTTATCTCGAATCACCATCAAAGGATGAATCGAGAAGTCCTAAGGGAGCATAGCAAAGGTTCATAACCTAAACTTATGTTTATCTTGAATCACCACCAAAGGGTGAATCAAGAGCTCTTAAGGGAACATGCCAGAGGTTCACAACCTAAGAAAACATGTACACAAGGATGGAAAGTGAGTAATCAACAAGCTCAAGAGAGAACACACAAGGGAAATCCCTACCTAAGTTAGCTTACATAAAACCTAAGGGTAAGGATAACTATCCTATAGGGAACATGCAATGAGACCGAAGTCGTTATCTAAATTCTAATTGAGTGACATCACCGATCATTAACAAAGGAAAATGATAAAGTCCTAAGGGGAACATGCAAAGATCGAAGTCGTTTTCTCAATTCTAATTGAGTGACGTCATCGATCGTCAACAAAGGAAAATGAAAATCCTAAGAGGAGCATGTAAAGATCAAAGTTGTTTTCTCAATTCTAATTGAGTGACATCATCGATCGTTCACAACAAAGGAAGCAAACACAAGCACAAACACAAGTAACAAATAAGTGTAGAATGTCTGCTACAAGTCTTTAAACAACGACTTCAAGCGCACGCTCTTTATTTCCTACTTCTCATGATATCTAGAAAAGCAGTAAAACACAGAAAGATAATCTGGAAGTAGAATGATACCGAACGAACAAGAGTTCGTAGCAAAGCAAGCAAAAGTAGAGAAACCCGAAAAACTTCAAGCAAGCTTCACCAAGCAACAAAGAAAAGAGTTAGAAATCGAATGCTCGAAATAAGTGTCGAAGCATCGTCGATGTGAAAATAAATCACAATCAGAAACTCAAGCATATCCGCATGATAAACCATCATAAAACTCAGATCTCAACAAGTAAAGGTGAATCGCAAGTCTCGAATAATCGAATAACCATGATTTAATTCCGAAAAATAAAATATAAAAAATCTAACAAATTTTTATTGATTTTGTATTCTTTTTATCATCAATTTTTATTCCTAACATTATTATCTAGAAATTGAGAAAAAAAGATTAAAGAAAAATCTAACCAAACTCTAAATAGAGAGGGGGGGTGTTAAATCAAGATTCAGGGGGTGTAGATAAGATGAGGCGCTGAGGCCCAAAAACTAGAGTCCAAGAGCTCTTTTTTGTTCAGCTTTTTCCCAGCCATGCCAAAAACGAATATTGGGCGCTCAGAATCATACGCAGTAATGGCCCAATACCAAATTCGCTCAGTTCAGCCCACATGATCTCCATTATTCAATACTTCAGATTTTTTTTAATTATTATCATTAGAATTATCAATAAAATAACAATAAAGAGAATTAAAAGAAAAATAACAAGTTAAACGAAACACAGTGTTTGGGAATTTTGGCTAGCGTTCAACACTTGGGACTATTCAGCTTCCCTGTGAGATACGAGATTTTCACCCTCTCTTCTTCTTTTGAGAAATCAGCGGCACAACCTCTTTCCTCTTATCTAAGATTTCCACCGCCGTACAAAATTCATAAGGATACCATGAATCATCACCTTCGCCGTTCGATTCTCTCAAGTGGTTGAAGCCAATGCTATTGAACTGAAGTAACCGCAACTTGCTTCTTTGGATGAAAACTTGGCTTGCTAATGCTATGGTTTGAGTTATTGAAATGATGTTGTTTTGATACGGTTTCTGAATTAATTTTTTGCTCTCTTTATTGATGCAAGACTGTAGTTTTGGATAATTGATGCAGGGCTTGTTTGTTATCAGGTTTGGAAATTGTAAGTTTGGTGAAGATTGCGTGTGACTGTTTTGCAGGCTAGAGAAGCTTAAAATTGCGGCCTTGTTGTACTTGTTTAGATCTATTTTGGTGCAAGGCATAACATGGTGGTTTTGTTGGCAAGGCATGGCTGGCTGGTCATGAAAGCTTGATATTGATAAGTGGCTTCTAAGCATAAAGGATGGAGGAAAGATTAAAGCCGCCTGGAAAAGATAGGCTTAGGAGTCAAAATTAATTTTGTATTTTTTTGGTTTTCTTTTCATTTTTGGATTCAAATTGTAATGGTTTCTTTTGGAAATGAGATTTGAAATTCTTTTATCTCCATTTTCCCATTCAAATATTCGAACTTTTCTTCCACCTCTTGCAAATAAACTTGAACGAGAGTTATGAAAGCTAAACACTATATGAAAACTACGCTCAAAATAGTATGATTTTTCAAGTAGCTTCAAATTTTTATTTCTCGTAAAGAGTTTTGGCAATTTGAATTGTATGGATGACTTGTATGCCTTCCATTGACTTTTCCATGTAACTTTTCTTGAAAGAAATGATGGCCTTTGCCTTTGTTACTTGGATCCCAAGAAATTAATATGGATATACCATTTCCAAATTTAGTCATGAACCAAATTCCCACTTATGCTTTTGAATAAATTGATATCATGGAATCATTTGAGTGAAACCTCATCCCAATTCTCTGTTGATCAAAACCAAACTAAATGCCCTCTTGATGAAATTTTATGCTCGATCATTGATCCAAATTGACTTGCATAACAAGCAACAAGTAATTGAGATAGTGTCTTGAATACAATATACCCACATGCCTTGTATTGATAACCATAAAAGAATGCATTGAGAACTCCTTGAGGAAAAGCACAACACTTGAACCATATGACTATGGAAACCTTAGGTTCGATCTTCCTTTAATGATGGACAAACTCAAGTAATGAATCAAACCCTAATCTTCTTTTGCCTTGCAGGAAAGAACTAAAGTATAATTATTTAAATCCTTGATGGATGCCTAAACCCTTGATGCTTGAGAAATCTTGATGAAGATGCCTTTTTAGCCCAATGACTTTGAATAAAGGGAAGAGCCTTAAAACCAAAGAGAAACCCTACTTACCAAGACCCTTGATCCCAATGTCAATTTATTGATAATGCCCGGTGTGCTAGATGACCTAATGGAATGTAGGAAGATGAATCCAAAAGCCTAATCCAGGTAAAAGTATCAATTAGAAGGACAAATTTTGGGGTGCAACAATTAACCAAGGTAATGGAGGTGAGTTCAGAGTTGACGAGAATAAAGTAATGAGATTTGGCGATAAAGTATGTGTTTCGGATATGCTAGAGCTTAAGAGAAGTATTCTTGAAGAAGGGCATAGAAGTGGGTTAATTATTCATCTCGGTGCTACAAAGACGTATCAAGACTTGAAGAAGTTGTTTTGGTGGCTGGTATGAAAAAGGAAGTCGCCAAATTTGTTTATGCTTGGTTGACTTGTCAAAAGTCGAAGATTGAGCATCAGAAGTCTTTGGGTCTTATTCAATCGTTGAAAATTCCGCAATGGAAATGGGATATTATTTCTGTGGATTTTGTGTTGGATTTGCCGAAGACGGCTAAGGCAAATGATTCAATTTGGGTGATAGTGGATAAGTTGACTAAGTCATCTCATTTCTTGCCGATGAAAATCAATCATCCTATGGAGAAGCTAGCTGAGATGTATATTGAGGAGATTATGAAATTTCATGGGATACCTTTGAGTATTGTGTCGGATAGAGATCTGAGGTTTACGTTGAAATTTTGGGAAGGTTTGCATAATGCTTTTGGTACTAAGTTGAGGTTGATTTCCGTAAATTATCTGCAGTCGGAAGGTCAAACGGAGAGGACTATTTAGTCTTTGGAGGATTTGTTGAGGGCTTGTGTGCTAGAACAAGGAGGATCTTGAGATAGTCACTTGTTATTGATTGAGTTTACTTCTAATAATAGTTTCCATTCTAGTATTGGGATGGCACCGTATGAGGCATTATATAGTAGGAGGTGTAAAACTCTATTGTGTTGGTGTTGTACCCCAAAATTTGCCCTCCCATTTCTCATTGATTTCTCACCACAAAGCCTTTGAAGCTCAAGATCCAGTTAGGGTTTCATCTGCTCAAGACCTCTCCTTGCACTGTGGACTCAAAATTAGGGTTTGTGTTTGCACAAAGATATTTTGACCTAAAATGCCTAATATGACTTTCATGCCTCATGTTGGACTCCCAAGTTTACCCATATCAAGTTTCAAGCCTTGGTTCCAAGTTTTGCCCAGTCAGTTGGACAGTTGACCTAGAAATCAACTATATTGGGGAAAAAGTCAACTGTGGCCAATTGACAGTCAAACCTCATGAAATTTGACCCACATCAACATTATGAACTCATATGAATCATTTGGTCAAGTTTGGATCACAATTCCCCAAGAAATTTGATCAGATCACCAAAAGGGCAAAATGGTCATTTTTAGGGTTTTGACTGCACAAAGGCAATTTCTGACTGTTTGACCTAGCCAATGGCAAGCCAAGCTCACACATGGACTCAAGGACCCCATGGAATTATCTTGACATGCTCAACAAGCTCAAAAGATCCCAAGTACACAAGATTGACAGTTGAATTTTCCAGTCAATTGATCAATTTTGACTGTATACTGAAAAGTCAAACTTTGACTTTTTGGTCAAAATCAAGAGTCAAGATTCATTTTTCATCAAAACATGCCAAATCATGAAACTTGTTCACCAAGAAACCAAGAAATGCAAATTAGGGTTTAAAATGGAATTTTTCATAATCTTTCCCTTGACAGGATACTTCAGCATCTGATGCAAGGAGGAGGTGACTGCCCCAGCATGGTGTATCCAAGGTCTACCCAGCAGGCAAGAATATGATGGACGGATGTCCATTACGTAGAAAGTGGATTTAAACACCTCAGTACCTATCTTGACAGGAATTTCAACTTCTCCATGGACCATTCTTTTCGACCCATCGAAAGCTCTGACGACAATATCACTCGGCTTCAATTCCAACCCTTCACAATCTAGCCGGTCCAAGGCCTTTTTAGGCAAAACATTCAGCGATGAACCGGTATCAACCAAAACATGTGCAAGGGTGGTTCCGCGACACTCGATTGAAATATGCAACGCATCATTGTGGTTTCGGCCCTTAGGGGTTAGGTCGGCATCAGAAAAACCTAATCCATTGTCCGCAGTCAGGCTAGCCACGCAATGTTGAAATTGATCTGCGGAGGTTTCTTGGGGCACATGGGCTGCCTTCAGAAACTTAATCAAAGCTTGAGCGTGCGCTTCTGAGCAAAGCAATAGTGCCAGCATGGAGATTTTGGAAGGGGTTTGCCCCAACTGTTCCACCACATCGTAATCACTTCTCTTGATTATCCTCAAAATCTCGTCCATTTCTTTCTTGGAGGCTTCCGGAATCACCAAAGGTTGAGCCCTCGTCCTGACGGGCTCATCTTGTATTCCCTTTCCTTTATCAGCAATGGTAGGAAAGACAGCACTAGGAACAACAACCTCTTCGATTAAAGGAGTTCTGGCAGAGAGCTTTACTGGTGCAGGGGTGACTTCTTTAGCTGATGAGGGTCCAAAGACTGCTATTGGAGGGGCAATCTCTGGAGAAAATATTCTCCCGCTCCTGGTGATTTTGCTGGTGCCCGCAATGTTACTAATTCTGACTTCTTCGTCCTCCGAATTTTCTTCAATTACCTCGACTTGCTTGATACCATGGTAGTAGATGTCGCCACCATAGTTCCAAGGTATCGACTTCTCAGAAACATAGGGAACAGGCCCCGACATCGTTATCTTCAAAGGTATAGATTTTGCAGCTGGTGTAATCTTAACAGGCTTTTTGACGGCCTCGGAAAGATTGGCGTGAATGGTTATGATTGAGACATTTTCAACATGAACTGGAACAGCAGAAACTTTTTCGAACAAAATTTGTCGGCTATCCATAAGGCCTTGGATGCCTTTCTTTAATAGCGGACAATCAAAAGGCAGAGAGTGGCAACAGTAGCAGTCTTCTTTACATCCCGGGAAGATCCCGACCCTCAACAAATTCAACTTAATGGTTAGCAGTGGAGTAGTCAGATCACTGACATCAGCAACATATAAATCCTCCTCAATGGCATTGACATTTCGACCGTGCTTCGGCATAGGCGCAGATATCACATTGGGCTTCTCCGGAGCGTCAAACTCTACCTCCTTAGCCTCTATCAGGTCTTGGATCTTATGCTTGAGCGCCCAACAATCATTGGTGTCATGTCCAACACTGTCTGAATGATAGGCGCATTTAGCATTGGCATGGTAATGAGGGGAGGACGTATTCACATTCTTTGGCGCCTCCTTGATAGTGGCAAGATTCAATTTCAATAGATGGGGAAGCACTTGTGCTGGAGTCATATTAATACGGGTGAACTGCCGTTGTGGCCTTTCCACCCGTTGCTGATTTGGTCTGGGCTGGTTATAGCGAGGCTGCTCACTCGGAGTGTTTTGAATCATTACGGCCCATACAGTTGGCCGACGCTCCATCTTCCCTGCTCTTCTCTGAGAATATACCATTGTTGTCTCCTTCTTAAACGGCTTCTTCTCAATACTTGCAGCAACACCCTTCTGAATCTTTCCTGACTTGATGCCAGCTTCTATTCTTTCGCCTGTTAAGATCAAATCGGTAAACCCCGCAGAAGAGTTACCAATTAAATGATTGAAAAACGGCCCAGATAGGGTCCCAAGAAACATATCAACGAGCTCACGATCGGTTAAAGGAGGCTGCACCCTGCCAGCTAAATCCCTCCATTTTTGTGCATACTCTTTGAATCCCTCACTTGTTCCTAGTGACATACCCTGAAGTTGGGTACGAGTAGGAGCAAGATCAGAATTATACTGATATTGTTTGTAGAAAGCGGTGGCCAAATCTTCCCAATTTCTGACACTGGTTCCTTCTAACTGATAAAACCATTCCAACTGAGCTCCCGACAGGCTGTCTTGAAAGAAATGAATCCAGAGATTTTTATTTGCCGTATAGGGTTGAATTTTTCTCACGTAGGACCTGAGATGCATTTTGGGACAGGACAGCCCATCATACCTCACAAACACTGGCACTTTGAATTTTGGGGGAATCACAATTCCGGCAACCAAGCCCATGTCTTCG